AACGGACTTCCCTCTTAGTTAGTATATAATATAGCTTTCGAATTGTACTAGCGTTTACGATTTACGATATACTTATATCGCACCTTTGCCTTTTATCGTGTAGATTAAGCTATAGCTCTTAGAGGAATATACTACTATATAATATATACTAGTTTACGACATCTCTATACCTTAGCTTACGCCTTCTTCTCTCTACGCTTTATATAGGTAAATAGAAAAGAGATAAGCAATAGGTATAAGGCAACGCCTTTAGATAAAATTATAAGAGTGTCGATATACTAACGGTAACTAGAACAAATCTTTACGATACTATTATATAGCCTAGCACTCTTACTATATCGAAACCTTATATATAATACGATATAATAGCGTAGGAAACGCTGCAATACTCTAACTCCGGCGCCGAGGTAAAGCTAAGAGTAGTAGTGCATTCTAAAAAGCTATTTATGGGTTGTTGCAGGGAAGTCGCTAAAAGACCACCGTATACTAACAGCTTGATGATCATGTGATGCTTCGGCCGGCATCTCAACTCGGTCCTGCGACACCGACGACAACTATTTTTCATCCAATGCGCAGGATTGTGCATCCCATGTGTTGCCATAGTAGGACGAGCCACTCTTCCGGCATGGGTCTCGACATCAAGGCCCGCACGATGACACGCCACGTACACCCTCCGACTCTTCCAAGCATCTATTCCACGCTGTTTGTTGGTTTCAGCACTCACTCACGATGAAGCGAGGAACTTCCTGGCGACAAAGGCGGGATTTTTTGACGTAGTCAACTCATCGGTAATTTAACAAGCACGTGTTGAATGCGTGGGTGGCAGTGAAAAAAGGTATTTTCGGTCTCGAGTCAGGAAGATGCAATTATTGCGTGCTTCTGCGTGCAACTTAGGACTAGAATACACCACACCTGCCCATCGCATCGCATCGCCTTTATATCGGCATCGAATGGGCTTTCCGTCTAGTCTCTTCGCGTACCTTCACTCTCTCCATTACAAGAGCAAACACAGCAACAATTTCCTCTTCCACCTCAACCTCAAGCATCGTCGTTGCTTCATCTTAACATTCACCACCGCAAAGTGAAGTCAAGCATCAACATACCTAGCTTTTCACCATGACAGACACCGCTGCTTTCAACCCGACCGTTGCGCCTAGTTGTCGAAGTCCTTTGATCGATATCGATCATAACATCGTCCATTCCCCCAAGCAAAGAAGCAAGAAGATTGAATCGGGCCATCATGAAGTAAATGCTGCACCGGAACAGCCAGTCGCACGATATTCGATCAAGGACGGCGACAAGACTTCTGACCAATTTATTCACGAACATCCGACCATCGACCTCAGCGCGACTCACCTAGTCAGCTCCTCTCCATACCCAGATTTTGCGAACCAGTTACGCCTCGGAGACCTTGAAACACCCTTCAGATTGTTCGCATTCGCCATGAGCATTCTGCGGCCCATCCGAGACGACTACGCCACAGCTCCTTATCTCGAGTCGTTCAATTGGTCCGAAGTCTTTGCATTACTGCGGTCATTGTGCAAACAGACAGGCTTTCAATGGAATGAGTTCGGCTTCTACGTGGTCATCTTCCRGTCCAAACTGCTAGAGAGCGCTGACCGCGAAAGGCTCGGACTTCTGGATCAAAAAAGCCACGAGGAGGCTTGTGCTAGTGGAGGATTATTGAAGTACTGGTTTGGTTCGACTGACAGCGAAAGACGAAACCTTGCCACTTGTCTTTGGCGGCATCGAGAAGATGCCTCCCTTGGGGGTGGAGGGCCGTGGCATAAGCAGGCAAGGGCATCAGCGCGGGTAATGTAAGAATATGACTGATTGAGCGTTTCAAATCAATGATGGCGGGCTAATCCTTTCCAGGTACGAGACCATAACCTTCCACACCCACAAGTTGGTTGTAACAGATGATGTACAATCATGGAGTTTGACGGAATACGCCTGATGTCCTGCGAGTAGTAAAACTTTGATTATAGCAACCTGAGAATTTCTTTCTGGCAAGTTGTTTGCGAGAAATGTACCTACTCGATGTTGGTCTCGATGCCATTGAAATGCTGTTTCCGCACGCAAGAGTGAGTATCCCACGTTGATTGAAGCGAGCGTGGTGATTTGGTGTCCCATATAGATTGTCTCTTCACACAAACGCACGTTGACGCAAGAGACGGGCCCCACCAGGGCTACCACCTCGGTCGACAAAAACTTGGAAAGTTTCCACGCTACAACAAACCCCTCCTGACGGCATCGAACGGGTGCAGTCTACACGCGGCCTTCATATGCAGCCTCATCCTTCTCCAGAAAACTTGAAACCTCGAAGCCCTCCATCTAACGCGAATACGCGCCCTGATCGACGGATCTGCACGACTTGATACACCAGCGGGTACCAAAGCTTCGACTTTCCACCTCCGTTATTCGTAATGGACCGTCTCAAAGAGAGACTTTCGACCGGAAGCAGGTGGGTTCTCCTGTATCGTGCACTGATAATATGGAAGCAATCGCTGATAACCGGCGCTTAGCGGTGCACAGAACGCTGCCGATGGCAGCCTTAAGGGCAAAGCAAAGGTGAGACCAGCGTCTTCTCCAAATTCACCATGAGGTCCTTTCACACTTTGCTCATCATTTCCAAGGCGTTTATTTCTGGGTTTGGACAGCAGCCTGGAGCTGAAGGAGCTTCAATCCCCCAGGACAATAATAATTCGCAGGCGAATCCGTTGCATCAGCATAATCAGCCACAACATCAACATCATCAACACACTCAACAACCGCAACCTCAGCTGAGGACTGGCGATCCGGTTGTACCCAAAGTGAAAGGCGAGCCAAAACTTCTCGGTCTGGTCAGCGATCCGGGATTGAACAGAGACTCGGGCGGGTCAGCGAGGTTCGGAGACCGTCTCTTGTGGACTTATAGAGATACACAGTTGTGTGGGAGTGATGGGCAAGTGCAGGCACTTCCCATCATCACGAGCACCGCCAGCTGGACGGATCTGGATCCTCGCGGAACTCCAAGCTTGCAAAGTGTCGACGGTAATGTCGATAAGCTGAACACCACGGTTTTGAGGCAGTACGGCGACACTGCCAAGGATTGCGCTTACTTTCCMGTTCACATCAAGGGGAGTGGATCATGCGCTGGAGAGCGTGCCGATGGCTCTCGGCATCCTTTCTGTAAGAAACACAAGTTTTGTTCATTTCGTTACCATGCTGACTACTCCATCCACAGGGCCGGACCAACCGCCAATGGTAACGGAGACCACGAGTGAAGGAAAAGTCACAGCCTACACATGGATCCGACAGGAACATCTCAAAGGTCTAGAAAACATTTCCGAGAACCCCGCCACGACGCWCTATCGTTTGGACCACAAACCCAGCTGGCACAAATCCAAAGACGCCCTCCCAAAAGTCTCCATCGTCGATGCAGACTTCTGGAAGCAAGGCGAGCTCCCCTTTGGCAATTATGGAAACGTCGTCAAAGATGGCATCGCATATTTATATGCTCAAGCAAAAGGAGGAGTGACGGCTCTAGCAAAAGTCCCTGCGAATCAAGTGGAGAATCGGGGCGCTTATGAGTATTGGGTGAATGATGCCTGGACTGCACAAATGCCAACCATGGACCAAGAAGGTATTAATATCACCCATGCGAATGCTGGTGGGCAGGGAACTTATTACTGGTCTGAACCTTGGAAATCGTTTGTGTGGATTGGTGGATGTCCGTTTCCGGGTGCTGTGGCTTTTATCACTACTGCGCCTGATCCTAGTGGTCCTTGGATTGAACCTTTTCAATTTTATGAAGGTATGTATAAATGGGATTTTGTGACAGAGAGGATTGCTGACATTTTTTTTTTGCTGAAGGTACCGGTGGAAATCATGCTTTACCTGCGTACTCGATTCAAGCTCATCCTGCTATGGTGAGCGATGCGAATGAGAATGCGATTTATTTGACGTATACGAAGAGTGATGAGGGGGCTTATTCTACGCCGCTGGTTTATGTTGAATGGGAGTAGGGAGGGGGATTACAGGGATGTGGAATGAATGATGAACACTGGTGGAAGGATCAGAGGTTTGCGATCGTGGAGGAATAAGTATGTTTTGTTGAAATCGATCAGTAAATTGGAGAAAATGGAGAAGGAAGCAACTTCTATCAAGTACCGGCATGCCATGGTAATGTAACATGCCCTGTTACGTTTACGGCCATCGATCTTCCACGGAATGATCAGGACGTGTGAATCTACGAACTTCGATCACAATCATCATGATATCAAGAAACAAGCGACTGTTTGGCAGAGTTAATCACTCTTGTCACTCGATATTGTATAAATCTCGCAAAAGAACGACTTGCTTTCCTGAGCATATCTGCTCGGAATCTGAATATTTGGCCTATGAATGTGAAAACTCCAATCTCCTTGCCAGACAGACTAGACAAAGTTCAGTGGAATTCATTTCTCGGTCGCTTTTCTTCCAAGTGGCCATGGGTTTCTTGCGTTGATGTTTTTTCTGTGTTGCGGATTTATTTTTGGTGGGGATTTTTGTTGTATCTACATGTAGGAAGGAGGGGACCTGGAAAAGTTAGAGRGGAATTGATTCAGGCGGAGAGGACGAGTAGATTATTTAGGGAGAATTTAGTAAGGGGCGGCGGTTGAAGATGAAAGGGGGTTCCTCTTTTCCTACGAAGATGATGATTGCTGGGTTTTTTTGGTGGGGGATGCTTTGTGTGTGTGTCTCTGGAGGTGGAGGGAGGAGTTATTTGGAAGGGATAGGTTGGGAGTGTTGTTGGATTTGATGAGAGGGTTGGTATTGATGAGGGTTAAGGATGAGGGTGGAGGATCAGGGGGATTGGGTATGACTGGAGTTCAAAGTTATTCCTTTCATTGAAGATTTTCTGGGGTCGTAATGTCACCGCTACATCAAACTTGCACCTGATTATTCGAAGAAGAGGCTGGGTAGATGATGTGAAGACATCGGAATATTTAGGAAACGTGCCTCGTGCTTCAATAAATGTCATCCACTCGATCGATATCAAAGGGAAAGAGTTYTAAGTGGGAGTAAGAACCAGAAAGATAAATCCTTCCTACCTCATCCGTCATAAAAACACGAAAACAATCTTTGTCCACGAGGAGGAGTTAAACAAGGCAAACAGCGTACTTTTTCATCAATCCTTCTTCAACCCCTCCCCCAAAGTCATCCTCCGCATCCTTCCCACAACACCACTATACCTCGGGATTTTAAACTCCAATTTCCTGGCAGTACTACCCCTCCGCTCCTCATCAACTCTCACATCATCTTTTTTCCCCGACAACACCCCCTCAGCAGGAGCTCCTTCTTTCTCGCCCCCCAATCCCCCCATCAAAACCTCCTCAACAGCAACCCGAAACCGTTCCCCCTCAATCCAAAGCGGCCTAGAAATTCTCAACCCTTCACAAGCCTCACGAAGTTTCCGCACAATATCCACCACCACCACTTCCCCCCCGCCCGAAAGATTCGAATTTGTAGAAGAGGTCAAGCAAGCAAAACACACAAACCCAGAATCCAAATCCCTAGGTTGCGCATAATCGGGTCTTAGGACGCGGACATGGCAATTTCGAGCACAGGGTTCCGGGATAGGGGTTGTGGTGAGGATTTTGTGGGTGCAGGTGAGGAGGTGGTCTAGGGAGGATAGGGTGCAGGGTTCTCCTATGTGGGGGGTTGTGTAGGGTGGGGATTCTTCTTCTTTTCCTTTGGAGGAGGGGGTTGGGGAGGGGTGGTGTGGTGGGGATTGTGGTGGTGTTGTTGAGGAGGAGTAGCGGGATATGAGGGAGGGGATATTGAAGCTTTTTTGGCGGATGTGGTTTGTTTTGGGGGTGGGGATGGGGGATGGTGGGTCTTGGGTTTGCGGGGCTGGGTTTTGGTTATGGCGCGGGAAGAAGGGGTGTTTGGCGGTCATTTTTTGATTATTGGGGAGCGGGGATTGTTTGTGGGTTGCTTGATCAAGTTTAGTTTGGTTGTATGTGTATGCTCTGCGGCCAGCGACAGTTGGTTTTCTTTCTAGACATGAATGTGATGTTGCTGATGAAGTGAATGATGTATTTTGGAGGCCTGCTCCAGTCTCGCAGATGAATTTGCAGAAAATGTGGTCGGAATACCTTATTCACGGGGGCGAGCGAGCGAGGGCATGAGATTAGGTGAAGCCTCACACCCTTTGTTCCCGCAGTGAATGTGACTGTCAATGGAAAACGAGCTTATTCACATTCTTTTGTTGTCGACTTTTCGATCAAAGAATTCACGCCTCGCCCCCTTTCGCAGAACGATGGCACCTTGCAGCCTTCCGCTCCTGAGGTGGATATTGCGCGCAATGGCTGTAGATTCTCAGTAATTCAAGCGGACGTATTCTCCTACCAAGTATGGAATGTTATTTGTCGTAGAGACGCTCCATCAGATCCCGAGGTACTGGCATAGTCGAGAATTATATGTTTGTACATTCATACAAGTCTACCGTCTTGAAACGACTTTATGGAATACTTTATTCCTCAACAATATACAAATTCTTCATACGGCATATTCCAATCAAGAAGATTCTCAACCCTGATCCTCACATCAGATCTCCCAGGTATACAATCAATCTCACTCCCTCATCCCTTTCTCCCCCTCAACCGCAACCTCCCCCCAATAAACACCAAACTCAAAACTCCCGTCGCAGCACAAATCCCCGCCAAAACAGCATTCATATTCGCATACCCAATCCCATCCTTCAACGCCCCAGAGATTTCCGGCCCGAGAGTCAATCCTAGACTGRAGAAGAGGTTCGTCATTCTATCCAGCAAAAAAGTAAAAAGAATTAGCATATACATTCCACGACAACGATCTCACATCAACATCTCCCAACAACAGAGGATAACTCACCCATAAAGCTGCGCATAAGGCCCCTGACTACCAAACAACTCCCGATTCCCCTCAAAATACCTCTCAACAACAGCTCCAGCCTCCACAATCCCCGGCGCTCCAATCCCCGCCAGTCCGACCCCACAAAGACTCAGCAACGTAGCATAAACAGCCAAATGCTCTCCCGCGAATTGAAAGCAGATGAACACGGGGACGAGAAAGAAGTAAGCGCCAACAGCGACGGGTTTGGTGGAGTAGCGATCTACAGCCCAGCCGAAGACGGGGCCGAGGATGAGGTCGAAGATTCCGAGGGGGAGGAATAGAAGGCCGGCGCGTAAGGGGGTGAAGGAGTAGACTTCGGAGGAGAAGGAGGGGACTGTTGCGTCGAAGGTTCCGAGGAGGAGGGCTTGGACGAAGGAGAGGGTTAGGGCTGAGAGGAGTTGGGGGTCGGAGAGGATGAGGAGGAGGGGGAAGGCGCGGTAGGTTCGGGAGAGGGTTGAGGGGTCTGGGAGGGTGTAGTGTGATTTTGGGGGAGGGGATGTGGAGAGTAAAGGGGTGGATTCTGATTCTTGAGATGGCTGCGCTTCATTGTCGTGGTCGTTATTGTCGGTGTCGTTTGTGGGTGGTTGTTGTGGTTGTGAAGAGGTGGGAGTTGTGATGGTGTCGATGTTGGGGTCGTATTTTCGGGCAATCTTCTTCTCGATTACGAGGATTCGCATGATGAAGTCGATGATGAGGAGGGAGGCACCCATGCCGAAGACTCCGATCAGACCGGTCTTTTCGTAGAGAACACCGCCGAGTAGGGGTGCTGCAAAGGCACCGACGGAGATGAAGCTGAAGATCTGGGTGGAGAGTGTCAATAAAATTCACATGTTGCAGGCTGTGAAATGAGATATTACCGAACCGACCGTCTTTCCCAGATTCTCCGGCCCGACGGTCTCCAGACAGAGGGCAAGACCAATCGTCCACACCAAAGCTGCACTAATACCCTGCAGCACTCTCCCAACCGCCAACACCGCCACCGTCTTACCAAGAAAAAGCAGAAGAGTAGAAGCAAACAATGCAGCGATGCCGAAGAGAAAGGGTGCTTGGCGGGTGGCGACTCGATCGGCGAGAATTCCCACCAGCGGCGCAACTGCGACGGAAGATGCTCCAAAAGCAGCCAGGAGAGCGGAAACGGTCGTTTGGATTTGATCTTGAGGCACTCCGACTCGGTCTTTGAGGAGAAAGGGCAGAATGGGCACGACGAGGCCGTAGAGGAAGAGATCGGTGAACATTCCCATGGCCACCGTGGACACGATGAAGAGCGTGTTGGATCTCCATTTCAGGCCCGCTGGTCGATAGGTGTAGTCTTGGCGGATTTGGAGGGTGTTGAGGAGTTTCTTGATGCTTGACATTGTTGATGGAGGACCGTGGGGGTTATTTTAGTGGGATTGGTTGGGAAATCGATGGAGATGCACTTTGGCAGTGGATGGATGTCTTGTCGTGCAGAATCCGCAACTTGGGCATCCGCCGTGATGTGATGATGATGGAACAAATCAACAGCAAAGGCCAGTCAGAAGAAGGCAATCGTAATGGCCCCAATAATCCAAGCAATGCAATGCAATGCAGCAATCGAACAATCGATGACGAAGCGGTCAAAAATTGCCGCAAGATGCACTAGAAACGAGAGTCGCAGCGTATCACAGAGCAGATGACGGGATTGAAGGTGTGCATACTATATCCCCTCCGATAAATGATGAAAAGGTAGGATGGATGGATGGATGGATGGATGGAATTGATGCGGAAATCTGGATTGTATTGGATCCATCAAGACGGGGAGGTTAAGTGGAATTCCCCTTACAAACCTTGTTCATGCATGCAAATGCATTTCGATGACGAAGGTCACTACGCCTCCAAATCTGCATGTACCAACAAAAGTCATCAACACCATCATTTCTGTTTCCATGTCCTTCTCGTATGAATTGGCGAGAAGGATGAAGGCTGAGTTGAGTTGATGATTAAGAAATGACAGGTGTTGCAACAATTTCAGTCCCAAGTTCCTGGGCATGGCATGTATCAATTGACAAGGATTGTCGCCATTAGTGTCGCTGGAGCAATAGATGATGCTCAGTGAATGTCTTTGAATAATGAATAAACCAGTCTGCAAACCCATCCAGCAAACACATACACATCTCCAAAGCAACCAGATGATGCCAGCAGCTTTCCACAACACGATCATCCCATCGCATCCCATCGCATTGCATACCATCGAGACCAAACTTCCTGTTTGTGTATAAACACACACACACACAATCCACTCAGAATATTCGCGAGCGGACATGGCCAGAGTACATCAATAGCCCATTCCCTCCTCCGAAAACAAATAAAGCACCTCTCAGACAAGATAAGTCTCACCCTGAATTCATAACGCCAGCAAGAAAGGAAAAATGTCCACCCTCCACCACCAGAACAACAAGTCAACAACCAGCACATCCGATAGATCTGATCAACGGAGGGACATGGCCTCCTCATCATCACCATCACCACAACTCCTCACCTCAACCCTCCCAAATGCACAACTTTCCCCYCCCACATCCTCAACATGTCCAGGACCTTTTCCCACTCCCTCCCACCCCATCTCCTCCTCCTCCTCGACGGAATGCCTTCTCCCAACTCACCACCATCATGCAGAATTCTATATGCACATCCCAACCCATGACGCAGATCTCATGATACGCACGGGGAATGTGGCGCGATTGAGGAGGATGAGGAGGAGGGGGAGGGGGATGAGTGTGGATCGGGAAGATGAGGATGATGTGGTGGTGCGAGGGAGGGGGGAGGGGAATAAGATGTGGACGACGTTGGTGCGGTTTTTTCGTAGGAGGGAGGGTTGAGATTTTTTCAAGGAGGAATGTTGGAGTTTCTTTCGAATGAGGTATGTTGGAGGTTCTTTCGCAGGAGAGATGTTAGAGGATGAGGAAGGAGAGTGTGATATTCTTGGTCGATTTTGACGGCGCTGTCATGTGAGCACTCCCGTCTGCATCTATCTGTAGTCGTCTCAGCACGTAATGTACAAGGAATGTAGCGAGGTCCTTCCCCATCGCCCTGTGATCAAATGAATTGATCCATGCATTTGTCAATCCACCTGCGATGCCCGTGTGGGTGCATCCCGCCGCCAAGTATGATGAGCCAGCATACAGCCAGCGGCGCGGCTTTCCTTCCTCTTTCCATCTKCCGTGGAGTAGTCATCCATCTCGCTCCTTCCTCCATCATATTCGTTCCTTCCTTTTCATTTCATCGCCCGACTTCCAGCGCATCACTTCTTCTTCCCCGCCAAATTCTCCTCCCTGGGCACATGCGTCTCAAAGCGCGCCTGTCTCAGCGTCTGTGGTCCCTGCGGAAGATATCTCGGCTCCAACAATCCAATCTATTCCCCCTCAAAATATCAGCATCCCACTTCTTTCCTCAGCATCTTCAAATCCACAATCAATACTACTCACCATGGCCAATAATCTCCACACAGTATCACTAGGCTGCGCACCCACTCCCAACCAATACTTAGCACGACTGACATCGACTTTAATATCCTTGACTTTGCGATCGCCGGGTTCCGCGCCCACGGGAGTTTGAGGGATGGGATTGTAAGTGCCGAGGACTTCCATGGGTTTGGAATCTCGTGCTGATCGGCCTTGGGCGAGGACAATCTGGAAATGCGTGTTAGATCATTCTTTCCTGGGATTCTGGGGATGGAGATGGGAGGGGGAGGTCTACGTTGTAAAAGGGTTTGTGTCTTCGGGCGCCTGTGGGATTGGATATGCGCGCGAGGCGAAGTTTGAGGACCATTTTGGTTGACGGGATGGGGACTAGATGTGCGTGTTGGATGGAGGGTGCTTTGTTGGTGGTGTTGGAGGTGGATGTGCATGACTAATCCCCCGCGGAGCCATGTACGGTACATGGAAGTTCCCGAACGAGGGCCGGTAGATTTGAAGCTGTAGCAGGCAAAAATCCCGTGTTTCCTACAACAACGGCAAACACGATCAAGAAGCCATTATTCGATCCCCCGTAGTCGACTCTCCGCAAGGCTGCTGCTCGGTGTGCTTGCAGCTACCTATCCGTGAGCGCTGTTGTCGATACACCACAAGGAGAGTCGGCAATCTTCATATTTCACTATGTACTGCATGGGACCTGCTCCTACYTCTTCGCCCTTTTTTCCGCATTGGTCTCCTTTGGAATCAAAACCTCGCAAGAATCTCCACAGGTCTAGATCATCATCGTCATCGTCTACACCAGTGAAATTTGAACTCTCGCCCGGAAAGGCATCCCTTCGACTCACAGCTTCCGCTACATAACCAGCGTACCTTGACTTCTAGCGGAGACGGGAGTAAGATGCAGTATGTATACCTCACGATTCCGACTCTGCAATGACAGTACAGTGCGTACAAACATACGTGTCTACTAGTAGGATTGTCCCAACAAACGAGATTCATAGAAGAATGGACACACCTGAGAGTTATGAATGCGAACGCTCCTCTGATCGTCAAATTGACATGATCTTTGCACATGGAGGAGCAAGTCTCTTTCACGGACTCATCCACTAGATTTGTCCTTGCTATGAGGGATTCGAAATCATATCAACCTGGTGAATACGAACAGCGCCCATCATCACTTCCTGCTAATTCAATTTCCCATCTTCTGCAACAACGTTCCTCCCACCTGTAGTAGTAGTAGCTGCTCCATCAACTTCCTCCCTCCATCTCGGCAGGCCAATTTTCCACCATCCACGGCAAATGCTCCGGATAATCCTCCTCACAGCCTTGAATAGCAGCATTCACAAACATCGTCTGTCCTAGAATTCCACCTCCAGCAGTACAATACCCTCTCCTAGTAAACTCCTCCAAACACCTCTYCTTTTCCAGCTTCCTCTCTTCAGAATCGTATTTCCCCGCCCGAATCGTAGCGAGACTCTGCACAATCCTCGACCTCTCGTTATCAATCACAGTAAAATGTGAAACCTCCCCCTGCAAGTCATCCTCATCCCTCCAACTCACAAGTTTCGCTCCCCAACCATGATGCACGTGTCCGAAACAATGCATCATTGGACGACTACGTGAAATAGCTTGGAATAAACTGGGACTTCCCACTCGAAGGTTCGTGTCCGTTTGGTCGAAAATCCCGCGTGGGGGACCATGCGTCACGACGACATTTACGTCGTTGGGAATATCCCAAAGATGGTCTTCTTGGGGATTATATTGGAATGCCCAGTCGTTTGTGGAGGGGGTATAAGGGCTTGCATAAACCGTCAGCATCGCACCGTTGATTAAGATAAAGGAATGAGTTCCTTCGTCCAGGAAAGTGAGTTCTGGACTTTTTTCGAATAATTCCCGCGCTTCTCCGGCTCGGCCATAGGTTTGCACCACCACGGGGTCTTCGGTCGAGAGTTTTGCTTCTGTGAGTTTTGYGTGGAACATGGGTGTGTCGAGGGTAAAGTCATGATTGCCAGGAATGACCAATTTGAGGGGAGCGTTTACTTGATGGAGCATGTTGATGGTGGTTTGCATTTCGTGCAGTTGGGATTCTTCCGTTAGGTCGCCGCAGTGGATGAGGACGTCTATGGGTTCTGTGGGGAGGGAGAGGCTCTTTCCATGCGTGTCGGAGAGGATGAGGAAGCGGGTTGGTATGGAGGTGTCCATTTTGGGGTTGTTTGTTGGATGGAATGGGAATGGGGCAGGGCGGTTTGGTGTGCTGTGCTGTGTGGAAGACTTGGTTGAAGTTTCCCCTCCAGATGACTGTAGTTTGGGGGTTGAGAAGTTGGGTGAAGACGAATTGCATTTGTATTGGAGGGGAACTTTGAGGACATGGTACCATAAAACTTAACTTTTGGCTGGGGACGAGATCCAGTGAGGAAACTGCTTAGCAAGTGATGTCGTTGCGAACTTCTTCGTCGTGCAAGCCAGAGAAAGGAGTGGTGGAGTAATGCGTGTGTTTTGAGTGGTTCTTACCTCATTGCGGACTCTGTAGATTACATTAACCTACTTATATACATTATCAACAACCTGGCTACCTTCCTGTCGTTATAAATCGCAAAGCTTGCTTGAAGGTGGACCTAGCCGCTAAAACCACCCCTGCCGCATAGACCCAACGGCCGGTGTTGAGAGAAGGTGCTCCGTGGAGAAGAAAGCGTGTCGGGATGAGTTGTCAATCATTCCTCTTTGATGTCCAGCACTTGGGAGGGGGTGCTTTCGACATCCCACACGCGACATGATAGGGCCGTGATATTTGTAGATGATGGATTGGATGTAGTTGTCCAGGATGAAGCACCCCGTCCTTGATCATGATTGAGTGAAGGGAGGGAGTATGAGGAGTAAGTGAAGGACAATCCAGGCCTCCCTTTCATCACCCCCGGCTTGGCGCTGCTCTCCGCAATTGCTCGCCAAACATCACGTCTCCCCAACTTCACAACGCGTCATTTCCCGCCGCACCTTCTCCACCTCCACCTCCACCGCCAAGTGCGTCAACATACATGGCGACAGTTGCCCGCCCTCCACAAGACCGACCGCGGCGTAAAAAGGAAGCGCGGACGGACATTTGGTCCAACTTGCTGAAACAAACGGCGCAAGCCCAAGCTCGCTCTCGCACGCAGGCCATCCAACACCGCGAGCTCATTGTTTGCGGTGGATCACCCGATGACCAACGCGAACTCCTCACATCTCTCGCCCGTCCACCTCCCGCACAAGCTCCGTCAAGAAATCAGGATCGAAGACCGCAGAGGAGCAAAGGGGAGCTGCGCTTGAGCAATCGATATGCCTATGGCTACGGTCATGTGACGCTCTACTCTCCACCCCCGCAGTCTGGAACGGGTGTCCAGGTGTTGGGCGCCGAAGCGGAGGAAGTCGCGCGGGTGGAGGTGCATACATTGCCGGATGCCGAGGCCGAGTATGTGGGCACCTTGCGGGCATTGTTGAAGAGGATTGAGGCTGCGGGGCGGGAGGTGGATGGAGATGGATTGTTGGAGAAGCCGGGCGAGGGGGAGGCAGACAACGACGACGAGGAGGAGCGGAGACGGCCTGGAGTGTGCATCTTGCTCAGTTGGAAGAAGCCGTGGGAATTCCTCCATCAGATCCAACGATGGGTGCAAATCCTCGCCAAATCACTATTACCCGACGGCGCCCTCGTCATCGATCCCATGGATGTCATCAAAGACGCCGAACTCGCTGTCACAATTGTTGTACAACACACCGAAACCCAAGAAGATCTGTTTCGAGAATCGTACAAGGAAGAAGATTTCGACTGGATCTCGCAGTGTCTGCGAACCGCCATCATGCCCCTCCATCCTTTCAGCTCCCTCGTCTACACATCCTCGGCAGCGCCGCCCCAACAGCCGGGACATGCTCTCACAGAACCTCAAAAAGTCATTTACCACTCCCTGGGTTTGGATCTTGCCATCCTCAGCCCCAAAATCCCCCGTCCCGCCGATTCCACCTCCAAAAAGGAAGATCTGGCCCCGAAACAGGAATTTATGGATCGGATGGCCATTATCATCCCACCTGGCTGGGACAGCTACGCATACATTCGCATCCTATCCGAAACATTCTCCCCAGAAGACCTCCTCCGCGACTGGTTGCTAGATCTACAACCTCCCCCAGAGTCTGTCACATCACCAATCACAGAGATTGAAGTTCCCGAGAAGCCCACACAATCCGGCGCAGAGGTCTATGAGTCCGCTGCTCCTGAAGTCGACGACCTTCCCGAGGAGCATGCACAACACCTCCCTTCTGCCATCAAGACATATGAATCCCGCATCATAGATCCACAATCACATCGCCGACAACACCAAGCCTCCACCGCTGCTGTTGAAGTCACCACCAAACCTGACCAACAGTTCCTCGCCGAGATGCGTGCTCATTTACAAGAACTCGAAGCCTCGGACTCCACCCGTGAACGTCCTTCTGGCGTCTCCACCACGAGTCTAAGTAGTGGCAGAAGCAGCACGGGCTTACCCCCCGGTCAGACTACCGGCGCACTGGGAGAATTGGGAGAAGTCAGCTTCAACGTAGGCGGTGTCAGCTATGATTCCGTCAGTGCAGAAATGGCAATTGAGAGATTGAGAAGGCCTCAGCATGGACGAGATAGAGAAACTCCGCCGAAGCCGCCCGGGTTGAGGACGAGGGGAGAACAAAATGCGGGTGGCAGCAGTGGAACACACGCTGGAGCGGGCGCCGAAGGCGGCAATGTCAAGAGTCCCGAGTTGCCGCCGATTGATAAGTTGGAGGAGTATTTTGCTAGTYTGGTTGCTAAGAGTGGGGGCAGTCGGGAGACTACGCCTAGTCGAACCAAGGAGTAGAAGGAGGACATCTCCTCGTTGCGAGTCTTTTTTTCTTTTCTGGACTTGGCAATCAATGAATGAGAGATGATTGAGGGAAGTTACAACTCGATGTATTTGAGCGAGCGAATACCATTGTGATTTTCTGTGCTGTTCTGTTCCTCCGGCTGAAAGAGAATGGAGTAGAGTACCTGGCTGCTCTTACCAGTTGTGAGAATTTATCAAGACTGGTTTTATAGTCAGCTTCAACGTCAGCCAATCGAGCATTTCGATTGAGAAAAGATCTTCTTCTTCTCCAAGGTAGAGAGATTAACCCGCATGCAATCCATTCTACTTGTCGAATACCTAAGGGACTGACAATTCGACGGCTTTTGTGAATGTATTGTTTGTTCATTAGAACGCCATTTATTATATGGTGACTGGTTGGTTGGTTGGTTAATACGACGGGACTTATTTACATTTCGAGGGATTTGTATGAGGATCGTATCTCTCTTGTTCTACGCTGTTGGAGTTGAGAAGAAAAAGACGGAGACGATGAAGAAGGCGGAGAAGAAGAAGTCACATGTAAGGAGTATAATAACTTGATTACTTGCCTATCAACAAGCGAATAACAGTTCCTAGATATATCCACTTAGCTCAATATGCAGAAGGGTTCCACATTAAGAAATCATGTGAATGAAATTATTCTAGGTGAATGTTTTTCGAATCTTTGATAGGGTGTTTCGAAGAATTGGTACGGTATGCTCGCTCGGTAGGTCCCCCTAATTCTCTGATTGTGTAAAGGATCCAGATATCTACTAGCAAATTTCCAAAACTCGTGATGAGGAAGGACGTCACGAGGCATCGAGTTTCATGTGGACATTCCTAGGGGAATTTTCAATTGATYTCCGGGACACGCTTTGTGATTGCTTACTTTTTACTTGCTTATATCAATCCTAGGGGTGATGAACGATCACGTATATTTGCTATCAATCGTCAGCGGTTTTCTATCTCTGGCGTTGGAGTTTGATAATGCCGAAGTGAAAATCGTTTAATGAGAAGTAAGGTGATTGATTGTAAAACTTCAAGAAACCATGTAGCTAGGGGGAGATGGTACATGTACCATATGGATTGAATTGGTCATTACAGTGGCCAGCTACACACCACTGTCCTCTTATCAGCGGGCTTGGGTGCTTGAGCTCAAGTCAATGCATATTAGAACGATGATTGTGGCAGTAAGGTCATGTTGGTGAAAGCTGAAATGGCAGGTTCTATACTCTACTCTTGCCTGAGCCTGGCTCGCTTCCGCAAGCGCTGAACGGGGTTTTTTCCTTCTGTGACTACTTCATCCGATTTCGACGGCCATGACAGCCATCGCAAACGGCGATTCACCCAAGAATTTATCATACCAACAGACTGACTGCTTCTGCTGGCTCAAACCTCAACGACAAAAGCATCCAAAGCAACATCCTTCTTCATCCCATCCACCACAGCCGCATTAACCATTCTCGTACCCTGTACCGACCTCCCCAAGATCCGTCCAATACAAGCCCAAAGCACAGCAAACAAAAGCAGCACCACCCCTTCCCATCCCCGCAAACCATCCTCAATATCATCAAAAATCGCCTGCGCCCAATCAAAAACGACAGTGTGCTCTCCCCTAGCAACATGAATATGTCCAAAAGCCATCAAAAGRGGCTTGATTCTCGCAACTTCATCCCGGAGATGAGGACATCCAGCGGAAACTTTCACCAGGGGGAATTTAGCTGGTGGACCATGCGTGATGAGGATATCCGTTGCAAGTGGAATTTTCTTCYCACTCCAAATATCCTTTTGACGCGGATATTGGAATGCAGAGATGCCGTATTGAGGTGTCCAGGGCGAGCCGTAGATTCTCAGAGATCGATCATGGGGTGGGAATGAGAGGGTGAGGGATTCATCTTGGAGATATATTATGGAGCCGAAATCGAGGTCTTGTCTGGTGCGAGCTTGGGGGTCTTTGTACTTTGGATGAGCATCTAAGAAGGCTGTATCGAATAAAAGATCATGATTCCCGGCTATGATGAGTTTGTGCGCGTGAGGTTGGTTTGAAAGCCAGGTGAGTTGAGTCTGGATTTCTTCAAAAGATCCCCATTCGGATAGGTCGCCGGCGTGGATCAGGATGTCGCCGGGAGGAAGGGAGGGACGGAGATTGTGGGTGTCGGAGATACAGACGACGCGTATGACTGGTTGGGTAGTTGGCAGTTGGATTGTCAGAGCCCGTGTAGTACGAAGCAGCTTCGCTGCCGTATTCCTCAGGCGGTGTCGGGGAAGTTGTATTGAATGGACGCCCATTGAAGCCTGCGTCATGGCCTCTCATTAGTTGAAGTCCGCTCCAATGAATGCCATGTCGATAGACACAGAATTCGAAATAAATGATGGAGTAGAGTTGGAATGTTTTGGTTGGGATAGGCGTTCTGGGACAGGAAAAAGCGCCACTAAGCAAAGGCTCCCACGAGATCTCACAGCGTTCATACTGACCTTCCACCAATGAGTTCTATGAATTGTACATTGCAGAGTGAACCCAGAACCAGGTTCGAGTGCGATAGGTCTTCGAAGCCTACCTTACCTACTTCATGAAGGACTTTTATTTTGACGCTCGTCCTACCAGCGTGGCATTTCATTCAGAACATGCATTGCATTGCTTCGAGTCACACAGCTTTTGCGCAGCACAGCACAGCACTGACGTGGCTTACCCGGCTTCCCCTTGCAGATACCCAAGAACGCCATGTGATAGATGACGAACCGGGCTCCCCATACTTTAACCCAAGATCGACAGACGATGGCGCGTGGCATAACGCCCCATCTTGGAATCACGACGATCTTTAACTACTTTTGTAGAAAAGAGGGCTTAGCAAGCGTCGCTAGACGAGATTTTGCTCTGTCAATACCTGCAGGATTCTCAATCTTCCCACTGAATCCTCCAATCAGCGCTCCTTCATACCAGTCTGGCCAATACGGCGGCGCAGCAGATAGCAAGGATCTGGGGGATCTCCAAGCTGAACGCCGTTGAGAGCAGGTACGAACGCCTCAGGTACATACATATGCCTGGGCTATGTATAGTGCAGTGTGTCTCTCGCTGTAGATAAAGGATTTCCTGGCCCTCGTGCGTCTCTAGCTCGATAATTTCATCTCTACAGGACAACAAGCCAAAGACCCCTTCCCTCGTCTTAAAAGATGCTTTTTCACTTCACATCATTGCTGGCGACCATTGCTGCCGTGACTGCCTATCCCCAAGCCGCTGATCCGATAGATCAAGGCCCCATCAGCGGACCCTTCTTGCCTAACGGTACCGGTAAGGAGGATGGAGCCATGATATTAATCTGCGACCCTCACTGAACATCTCACAGGTCCTGGGGAATGCACTCCTGAATATAGACTAGCCGTAAGTTTATATCCTCGCCAGAATCTCGACCCCTTTTTCGAACAACAAAGCCTGAATTTTTTTTCCTTCCAAGGGCGCTCAACAAATCATCTTCGCATACAACCGTGTGCAACCAGGAGAATCCGCTGCTGCTTTTCAGAGATTACCTCTTCGGGACGACTGTAAAGTCACAATGTAAGTTATAGTATCACCGATGATGATGACATTGGCAAGAGAAGAGAAGAAGCTCCTGTTTTGACAGCATTAACAGTCTCGCCAACGGCCTTCCTGGCGTCCCAGTCGCTATTGACCGCACCACCACCGTGGATTTCGCGACGGCTTCCCGTGAGGCTTTCTCTCGCGTCACGGGGATTTACAAGGATTTTCCTGAGAACGGCACGACGGTTATTAATACTAATGTTACTCTTGGTGTTTTGCACGCTGTTGGTTAGTATATTTCTCTTATTTGTTAGATTTGGATTGGGTATAAGTGTGGAATGCTGACTATGATCTGTAGCACTCCCAGTGACTTTCAACGCTGATGTATACCTCGACTACGATGTCAGCCAGTGTTTGATGACTGCTATTCGTGCGTACGCTCGTGTTCCGACGCAAGTTGGGGGCGTGGTTATTGGGGATTTGGTTATGGATACTCTTTTATCATTTTCGTCTATTGGGGAATAGATGGTTGTATGCTTGTTGTATTTGACTGGATATTTCTGGCACGAAAAAGTTTGCTTAGGGCGACACCTACGATATAATGTTTCAATTCATGATCAATGTTTTTTCATTCGCCCGCTTCGTATATATGGTTGGCCTTGGCATTGTATTCTACTGCAAGTGTCTGAATGCCAGCTACGTTGCTGTTACTACAGCATTGGACTGCTCTCTGAGAACGGTCGTTGCCTCTCTTGAATATATGTATCACTACTTCCATGGAAAAACTTCTCGCTACTTCAAGAGAAACGCACCATGTCCAAGCATACCTACGTGAGATATTGCTCGCATTATCGACAGCATGAAAATTGGCAGACAACAAAATTTCCATGATCAATCCCGAAGACCCCCTGAATTGGTCGACGCTTCGCACGCACTTCGGACTGTCAAATGTCTGAWGTGTCATCTCCGCTAGATCTGTGAGCTGTAGGCGTTCAGACCGTACAAATATTCAGTTTCTGGCTACATGTAGACAGAACTCGTTCATGCATACTTGTCGACGACCTCACTAGCATATCAAGATTAGATAACAGAACACAATGATAAGTCTCTTTCAATATTAGCCGACGCCGGAGATACTGGAGGAGGCGAAACATCCATCGATTTGTGAATACATCACTACCACAACATACGTACTCGTCAAAGCAAGCGGTCATGCTTTTTCTAGCCGAAGAGTACTATTCGTAAAATCTACCTTCAACCGCTGCTCATAGCACGGTCTGCTGATATTTGAGCAGTATTCTCACGCAAGACATCCTGTCTTGGTACTTTGATGAGCCTTAATTCGACCAGGAGAAACCCCTCTACGTCGACGGCCTGGACACATGTCACTTTTCTGATGATGAAAAGGAACTCATCAAAGTTCGGTCCAATTAAGCTGTCGGCCATGCTGCTGGAGCACTCAAAAATCGAGGACGCAGGTATGTCTTGGATTATTGAAATTGCTGCCAACGCTTTGGTGTACCGACCAAACAGCGAGTGACGAACTTCTCAGGGCGTATATTTTTGCCAAGCAAGGGTAAGATATGACCTAGGCAGACGTGAAGAATTACGTTGCCAAACGACTGGCATATTAAAATGCTAGAGGGTGTTATTATCTTTGTGGATGCGTTGCCCAAGCATGCCAGTGGCAAGAAGCTCAAGAGGATAGACACTGCGGGAACAGGTGGACAAGGAACCTGGGCTCGAGACAAAATCGAAGCTGTAGTGGCGAGTAGTTCGATGTCGAAGAATTGGATGTGGCAAATTGGACAACGATATAGAATCATAGCTCGTAATCGTGGTCATGCTCATGCAAGGGAGTATTACGGTTCGCTAGCCTCTATTTTTTGTTACGCCTTCTTTCTCCAGCAATTCCAGTTCGTCCGCGGTGATACCAAAGCTGCCCAAGACTTCGTTGGTGTTTTCTCCATGCAGCGGAGGTTGACTTCGAATGGTAGCCTTTGTCTTGCTGAACTTGATCGCAGGTCCTGTTCTTGTGTCAGCACAATGGATGATTGATGCGAGTAAATTACGGCAGCGGACCTAGAATTTTGATTTTGCCAGTTTTTGAGGATGGTAAATCTATTTCTGCAACCATATCACGAGCCACAGTTTGAGGGTGATTGAAAACCATTTCCATCGTGTTTATTCTGTCAGAGTTAGAACGGGGGAGATTCAAAGTATTGCTGCCAGGCACTCACGGAGCGTAGGGCATGCCACTTCCTTCAAATTCCTTCACCCACTCTTCAGTCGTCTTTGCGGCGAACAGATCGTTGAGGATTGGGAATAACTGCTCGCGATTGGTAACTCTGTCTCCGTTGCCGCGAAATCGTTCATCTTGGGCCATTTCGGGTCTTCCTAGAAGTTTTGCAAGATTTGCGAATTGCTTGTCGTTGAGCGCACCGCATACAAAGTACAAATCTTTGGTTTTGAAGGCATCGTATGGAACGACTGCTTGTTGTCAGCATCTCCCATGTATCGTTCACGTGCCTAAGATACATACCGCTTGGGTGTTGAGCACCCCATCGCTCTGCTTCTACACCCAGGTTCAACCAAGACAGGGCAACGTTCGTTAACAGGGCGACCTGCGTCTCAAATAATGAACCATCGATCTTCTGGCCCTCTCCAGTCTTCACTCTAGCGTAAAGTGCAGCCATGATAGCGCCATGCATGTACAGTCCACTGGTCATGTTAGCTCTCCAGCCCGACACATGACAGTCGTACAACTGGTCGACTTACGTCRACATATCCGTAAGACCAAGACCTGGTCGAACGGGTCGACCTCCTCGTTCTCCTGTTAGATGTAGTAGACCAGCTTCAGCTCCAGCGATCATGTCATATCCAGCTCGCTTCTCGAATGGACCTCCAGCTCCGTACCCTACATTACATGAGCATCCCCTTATAAGTGTGGATCAGAAAAGTTTCTTCAGCATACCAGAAGTACTCGCAAGGATGATACCTTTGTTAATCTTACGGAGATCTTCGTAGCCAAGCTGAAGTCTTTYCATATTCCCAGGTCGAAGATTCTCCACGCTTGCAACGAGTGTAATTAGTTTGTCGCATCGACGGAGAACTTAAAGGAGCAATACTCACACTACATCTGCCTCTTTAACCATTTCCAAAAAAATCTCCCGCCCTCTGGGACTCTTGAGATTTAATGCAACACTCTTCTTGTTGCGGTTCACAGCAGAGAAGTAATTTGACATTGGCCCGATTCCGGACTTCCACATCTTCTCCTCCCCTGATATCGTCCAGTACCGAGTATCATCCTGTCGATCTGTGAGTCGAGTGCTCTGCGTGGTAGTCATCTCAAGTCATACTCCTCGTTCTGGATCTTCAATCTTGATGACATCGGCACCTATTCAGTAATCAGTACATCCCTGAGCATCATATCAATACGCATACGCACCGTAATCAGCTAGAATCTGGGTACAGTAAGGAGCAGCCAAGACTCTTGAGAGATCCAATATCTTGRTTCCAGTCAATGGGCCTTTGGAAACATCGGTATCTGCCGAGTATAGCCGCCGTTGTGTGCTGCTAACGATGGAGGATGTAGTTCGATGCCATGATGTGCGAAATACAGCTTGCCGTCCAAGACCAAATTGACAGGGCAACATTATTCTTTTTGAGCTGGGGTCTGGGGGAACACCGTCGAAGGGTATCTGATATGACTGACATCATTTTTGTGCTCCCATTGGTGGACATAGTTTGGATTGCACCCCGCAAGGTCGGAGATCTATAACCCAACCCTAACCCTAACACTTATTGAAGACGTCAGCAATATCGTCCTTCGTCAGGGCAAACGACCGACACTTCTTCCCGTACATGCAGATACCAACCGAARAATGGTCTTAACTCTAACCATAGTCAATCAGGCAAAGAAAAACGAGTTTGCAGCTGCGAAGGGCGGAGGCGGAGCCCAGGCTTCCACCCTCACGCGACTCTATGTACGTGCCCTTCCTTCGCTACGCACCCGCTGAGTTTTTGGAAGAAATCGTTGTGGGAGAAGAACAGCTGTCACTTTATAGCAAAAAGATGATAGATTGATGTTACTTTCCAGAGTAAATAATTGATCTTGATCTTACTTGTCTCACAGTACCAAAACGAACCTGGATTGGAACTGTCGATGTTGACGCAAGGATTCGGATTCCTTCAATACGATCGAGGCAGTCCAAGAACCCTCTCGCCGATATCTGTAAGGGTAGCGAGTCAGTTCCAGTACAAGTGAAGTTCAGTCTTCGTGCACTCACAATTGAGGATCATCTCTCTGCTCACTGGCGCGAGTCTGGGCAACATCGCTTCTCTGAGATACCTCTCAACATGATACTCCTTGGCATAGCCCATTCCGCCATGAGTCAAAACTGCYCGTTCTGCCGCTTCGTATGCAGCATCTGCAGCGAGATACTTGCACGCATTGGCGTACTCTCCAGTTGAGTGTCCTTGCTGAACAATACATCAGCATTCAACCAACGATCTCGATCCTCCGAGCTTCACTTACATCATACATGCGCGCCGCCTGGTATACCATCAATCTCGCGGCTTCGACTTTCATCCAGGAGTCTGCGAGTGGATGCTGTATACCCTGATTCTTGCCAATGGGCCTGCCAAATACGTTACGTTCCTTGGCGTACAATGCCGCTCTCCTCAAAGAGCAGAATCCAAGACCAAGAGCTTCGGCACCGATGAGAATACGCTCTGCATTCATACCGTGCATGATTTGCTTGAATCCCTCCCCTTCCTCTCCAATCAGATCTTCTGCGGGAACTTGCCAGCCATCGAAGAACAGAATGTTGCTGTCTACTGAAGCCCTACCCATCTTTTGAATTTCGGTAACTTGCACGGCCTTCCTATCAAGGTCTGTGTAGAAGAGTGAAAGACCTTGCGTAGGTTTCTTAACTTCCTCTAGTGGAGTGGTCCTCACAAGAAGGAGGATTTTCTGAGCTGTCTGAGCAGTTGAAGTCCAGATTTTGCTTCCACTGACACTGTATGACTTTCCATCTGAATTACGGGTAGCCAGTGATTGGAGCTTCAAAGTGTCCAGACCAGTATTCGGTTCCGTTACTCCTTTGTTCACAATGAGTGTAAGCGGATTGTCAAGATAAAACCCGTCATCACCAGAACCTACCAAAACAAGCTCGTTCCWTGCCTTTGATAAGGGGAACAAGCCATCGCTTCTTTTGCTCTTCAGTAGCAAACTTCACCACTGGCTCCAATCCGAATATGTTCATGTGAACAGAAGATGCGGCTGCCATGCCGCCTCCTGATTCAGACAGCGTTTGCATCATAACGGATGCTTCAGAAATTCCAAGCGCAGACCCTCCATATTCTTCRGGCATGCAGATTCCTAGCCATCCAGCTTCTGCGAGGTCACGATGGAGATCAAGAGAGAACTCATGCTTGTTGTCTTTCTCAAGCCAGTACTCGTCCGTGTAACGTGAACAAATCTTAGCAATGGCGTCTCTGACTGTGATTTGTGATTCAGACCAGTCAACATTGTAGGACTGGAGGAATTCTGTTGCGGGTGCGTGAACGCCCCGTTGAAATGCCTTGGGGTATGCAGATCTGGTCGGTACAAGTGTTGTGGGCAATTTCCGTCGAAAAGTCGAGCGCGACTATGCTTTGCTTAGTGAGACCATTCTGTGGACGCAACGTGGAGAAGCAGATACCACATTGTTTGTTAGAAAAGACATGACTGGGTAGTACGTGTTTCCAGAAATGCCTTCCTGTGATTATAGGCGTGAAGATGTCCGATTTCTTTCACCACGACAGTGTCCCAACTCGATTCGACTTGGTAGGTAATTTCGATTGCTTGCTTGTTGAATATTCGAGATGTCATTATCATTGACGCAACTTCGACCCTAAAGATCGTCCTGTGTGATRTTGTAGTCAGCAGCTGCAACATTCTGCCCGCTGTGTGGGAATAGCCGGGAATATGGAAAGGATCCACCCCCGCAACGACCGAGGACAAATCAAATAAGTATGGGAGATACTGACTGCAGTCGTTGTGAAAAATGCACACATCTCCATGGCTACCTCATCCAGTTCCCCGTCCGATTCTCATGGGCAAACGGTGAAGCTGCAAGACTCTGCCAAGTCGATATGGGCAACCGTAGGCAAGCAAGTACTCCCGTTCGTCGTGGGAGGAGGCAGCGGCATCGTTGCAACGACTTGCGTGTATGTGTGTAGTCTCTACGAAATCGCAACATGCAACTGACGTTCGATAGTCATCCAATCGATATGGTCAAGGTCAGAAAATCCTGAAATAAATTCAACGCTCATTAAAAGCTCACAACAATCAAGGTGCGCCTGCAACTACTAGGTGAAGGTAGCAAGGGAATCGCAGCGCCTTCGCCCATATCCGTGGCACGAGGAATCATCGCTGAAGGTGGAGTTTCCAACCTTTGGAATGGCATTTCCGCAGCATGGCTTCGACAAGCAACTTATGCCACTCTTCGTTTGGGATTTTTCGATCGTTTCCAAGCATTGCTCGTCGAAAGAGCCAAAGCCAAGGACAGTACCATCGGGTTTGGCGAGCGAGCAACTGCTTCGTTGAGTGCTGGGGGGCTTGCAGCTGCTATTGCAAACCCATCAGAGGTTGCACTGATCCGCATGCAAGCTGACGGGGCCAAGCCCATGGCAGAGAGGGCCAACTATAAGTCGGTCGTTGATGCGCTAGTACGAGTGGGTCGCAACGAAGGTATCTTCGCTCTATGGTCGGGTYCTTACCCAACGATAGTTAGAGTGAGTCAACCCCGCAGAGATTCTATTCGACCATTGATTGAATCGTCCAGGCAATGGCAACCAACTTCGGACAGCTTGCATTCTTCAGTGAGTCTAAGAATCAGCTCTCGAAACGCACAAGCATGAGCGATAGAAGTGTGACTGTTGCTTCGTCTGTCGTTGGCGGTTTCTTCGCTGCATTCTTCTCCTTGCCATTCGACCTTATCAAGACAAGGCTCCAACGGGGCAAGGGTCCCGCCGGCCAAGCATATACAGGTGTGCTCGACTGTGCTGTCAAAATTGTGAAGGACGAGGGACCAATGCGCTTCTACAGAGGGTTTGGTACTTATGTGAGTTGACCCAAGAAAATGAGGGACTGGGTGAGCACAACACTCACCCTTACCAATTCTTGACTGTGCTTTTCCTGGTACTGACCTTTTGTGACCAGTTTTTCYGAATCGCGCCACACACTGTCATTACACTTATTGTGGCAGATAACGTCAATGCTTTCATCAAGCGGCCGGGTGTGTAGATGGAGTAAGGTCATTCTCTCGGGTTAATGTCGGGACTGAGTGAGTGAATGAAGCCGCACTACCCCAAGATATAGATGTAAGAGATACAATTTTGACACGACATGAACCGCTGTATTGTCGGAATTTTTCGCAGCTCATGCGCTTTCCGACTTGGCAGAAGTCGTTAGCTTTACAGCGCGTGGACACATGACTGTCGGTGCGTCGCCCACACGAGTCCTGGGAGTGCGACGCCTGCGCCCGTGATCAGTGAAACGTGACGTCTGACCTTCCAGAGTGTGTGAATGAGGTTGGTGGAATGGGGGTGAATGCTTCGGAGTTTGGAGCGACATCGACGAACATCCTGCAACAGTCTAGAGCCAATTCGGAGTCTATAACCACGAATAACGGTTCCGCTGTTGCTAGCGCATATCGGTTGAACTGCCCTCACACAGGCGCTCTTGCAGCATCCAACTTACCACATTTTTCCACAATAACGCTCGATCTGTATGCAACATGACAGACACACAAGCGGGCAAGTACAAGTTTCCTGAGCTGTTGATTACATTCCCCGCGCCATTTGTTGTACACGTGGAGATCAACCGGCCGAAGAAGTACAACTCGTTCAGTCCCGAGTATGTAAATTGCACATGCAACATATTTCCCGCAAAAACAGTCATCCATGCTCACATCATCACAGTGTCTTCCACGGCTTGGCTAAGCTATTCGATCAGCTATCACAAGACGAAGATGTCCGGTGCATCATGATATCGGGCAGCGGACCACACTTTTCTGCAGGACTGGATGTACAAGCAGCGAACAGCAGTGGCCCTGTATCGCAGCCCCGTGAATCCGATGATATTGCGCGGAAGGCATGGCGAGTTCGGCGACACGCACTCGATTACCAGAATGGCATTACGGCGATTGAAAGATGTGAAAAGCCGGTTATTTGCTTGGCTCATGGTGTCACGTATGGTGCAGCCATCGATCTCGCTGTGGCGGCAGATGTTCGATACTGCACGAAGAATGCGAGGTGGTCTGTCAAGGAGGTTGATGTTGGTCTTGCAGCGGACGTTGGAACCCTCACTCGTCTTCCGAAAATTGGGGTCAGCTATAGTTGGGCGAAGGAGGTCGTGAGTCTAGCATCGTCTAAGATGGAGGAGTTTGCTAATCTTGGCCATGTTAGGTTTACACTGCCCGCGAATTTGGAGGTGAAGAGGCTCTGAAAGTCGGTCTTGTTTCTCAAATCACAGAGACCAAGGAACAGTTGATAGAGGAGGGATTGAAATTGGCCGTACTAATCGCATCGAAGAGTCCGGTGGCTGTGCAGTCCTCCAAGGCACTCCTGGACTTCAGCCGAGACCGTCCGATCGATGATGGCCTGAAGTATACAGCGGCGTGGAATGCGGCAATGGTTCTTAGTGACGATGTCAAGGTTGCCATGATGAGCGGGATTAAGAAGACGAAACCCAAGTTTGAAAAGCTTTGAGACCGCACTGATCAAATGTGGTGGCTGGAGGAATCAATGTCGACTGTTATTCCGGAGCAGTCTGTTTGAGATCAGAGCCGCTCGTGGTCAACTGTGGAGATGCATGCAGCCGGCATCGCGATGCTTCGAGTTGAAGAGAGCTCGCAGAGCCAGTGAGACTAAGGGACACGACCCACCAGTGGTGTCAAAAGTGACAGACCTTTGAACAGCTACCTCGGTTGGTGAGGAGGATAACTTCAGGCGCCATGTCGGACAGCAGCTAGTTAGGAGTAGATAGTGTCAAAAATCAGAATTTTCAAGGCGAGACGACAGTATAAGGTCTCGGGGACTTGGAGATTGATGAGATGATCGAGTAGTGAGGTTCAGGATACATGATGGGTGCACCGCCTCATGTAGCATGGTTTGTTGATGTTTGTAATGTGATCGGAATGCCGATGCTGTATATACATAATACACCTGCGTGATCGAACAATCATGCGCTACATTGGTTGTATCATCATACACTCTGCCTTGATGTGAACATACATCTTGCCATTGCCAACTCCATGATTGTTAACCTCCAATTCTGGATACGTCGACTTCGGTTTTTCCGGGGTCTTCATAATGCCGAACTGATCTGCCCTGTAGTCTCGACTTTGCATGTTTCGAGCTGACCAGAGCCATTGCGGGCTCGGATGTATCGCTATACGAGCCATGTTTGCTGGTCTGAAGCAAGAAAGCTTGTTGTGCATCCGCCGCTCGTCTAAAATGCGACGATGTAAAAAGGCTCCTCCGCAAGAACTGACAAGCGGCACTGGTCGCGGCAAGGAATGGCCTTGAGAGTGTCTTTGAGTACGCAGCAAGGTCCACGATTCAAGGGGTTGTCCGGCCATCTATGGTATCTAGATTCGTTGCTGTTTCCTGGGAAGTGATCTTTGTGTATGTCGTCGCAACCGTGACATCTGGGCCCAGGCTGTTGGTAAATGATCGTTGCATGAGCATCCCAGGTGCCTGCACCGTTGTTTCCACACCGATGCCAGGTTTGAAGATTTGGTATCATGTTTTTTTTTTTGATCCGCGCCATATGTGTCGGCAGTCGAAAGGCTCATCATGTATGTCTCATGCCGACGGACGGCGTGAAGCTCCCATTCATCTCGTACCAGACTCCATCAAATCAGCACCCCTCGGGTGAGAGTGATTGGTCGCATTGTACAGATTTGATTACCACGATGCCATTGGCGCCGCTGAAGCCATACGGGGGATTGCCATGGCTTCCACCATAGCTGGATAAGTAGGCACATCCATTTTGTTGAAGAAGGCCATTGACCGTCGCTTCAACTTGCTCGAAGTTGGTTGGCTATACGATGAGCGTCGAGAAGGTGCTATATCTCGTGGATGAGTATTATTCTCAGAGACGACCACTGTGAAGAGGACTTACGGGTAGTYGGTGAGCTAGGACGTTGTAAGGGGAAAGATTGCATCTCTAATTCCTCTCCTGCTGGAGCCAGCTGCGTGTAGAAGTGGCGCTCCCTTCTAAAGAAAGTCTGTCTCCATTGCTTAAGAGATGCCAAGTCGGACATGGTTTCGAATGATGTTGCTGAGTGCAATTTGGAGAAGGGAATGAAAGGTGTATGTACGATGAGCTCAAGAGAAATGAAAACGCGAAAGAGAGCGAGGGTTTGGAGAGAAGTAAAACAGCGTTGGGAGGAGTGCGGCTTTGAAGGAAGCTCCAAACTTTGGTACCATGTTCTGGAGCGCCCTTGGGGAACTCTCATCCGGCTGCACCCAGAAGAAAGTGGAGCCACAGAGCTACAACTGACGAGGGTCATCCAACGTCAAAACGTCAAAGTGGGAGTGTTTGTTCCACCATCACGCGAGGAGCGAGGGATCTTGAGTCGAGCTGGAAACTCTTCATCATGGAGCTTCCATCATTTCAACCTGGGTTGATACTCGTCGTACGACCAGCAGGTCTTCCAGGAGTGACCTTCAAAGGCGATGACTTGACGGTTGCAATTTGCAATCTTGTACCGGCCGACGCCGTTGCGGTTTGTGATCATCACAACAGAGCAATTTCTGTCCGCATGGCAGTTGGAGTCTGTAGCGAAAAGGGGGGTGGATCGGCGAGAAAGACGACTAGATTCACTCGAAACGTAGCGGCTACGCCGGCAGCTTGCCTCGGGATCTAGCGGCCCGCAGCGGGATCAGAAACATGGAAAGATAGTGCCGGAAAACTCCGGCGATCTACGCTTGTTGGTCTTCCTCCAGAATCCTTCTTATCCTTCGCCGAGTCAGCCCTCGCTGTCAACTATTAAAGTAATTGGTGATGAAGTAATTGATTTTTTAAGAACTGAAGAGCTAAGTGGCAGTTGCTAGTAGATATATATAAGGAGGATTAGTTAGTAGCTTAACTAGCTACCGTACTTTTAACACTCCCCTACGTTAGCTGTTTCCTTATTGTCCTGTTTAACTGTTACTTCTTTAATTTGTCTTTTAGAATCGATTCCAATTCGACGAATGATTTCCACCTTAGGCTATTAAGCCCTAGTTTATTATTACTATGTTTGTATAGTTAATCCTTTATCTAGCTTATAGTGTGTACCTATCTTATCGTGTAGCTAATATAGTAGTTCTCCTCGAATTCAAACTTTAGAAGTTAATTATCCGAGGCTACATAGTCTAGTAAGTTGTCCACGAAATCGTCGCGAATGTTTCCGAGGAAGACCTTCTAGAGGGAGACTTTATCTCGAATAGCCTTATAGTACTTAAGGATTAGTCTAAGTCTATCTAGTTTTATAGTGCTAGCGTTGCTAAGATTAGCATTATAGTCGTAGATAAAAAGGTAGAAGCCTCCGTTTAGGCCTTTAACTAGGGCTAGGGCCTAAGCGTACTACGGAGTTCGCTAGTAGTTCTTGTTCCTAACCTAGTTAACAGCTAGTGTCTTTATGTAGGCTACTCTAGTAAGTATGTCGTGTTATCCGTTATTTCGAGTCTTTATAGCTACCTAGAAGTTGCTAAATAGATCTATAAAAGCAACGTCCTCGAAGTCGGTAGTCTAGTTTAGCCGTTTAGTGTGTTTAAGGAAGGAAACTAGTTTAGGGTAGATGTAGATCCGGTCGATGCCGTATTTCCTTTCTAAGTGTTTATTAAAGCCCTAGAGCATCTCCGCTATCTTACGGGTGTCCTTAAGGGTCTCGATAGCGTAGAAATAGTCTCTATAGACTCGTATTATAGTGTCTTCCGAAAGGAGTATAAGTTTAATATTAGTAAAATCTTCTAGTTAGAGTAGTCGCCTTTCTAGGCGAGATCTTAACTGTCTCCTAATTAGGGCAGCTAGGTGATTTAGTAGTTCTTCTAGATATAGTAGAGCTAAGTTCTCGGTAGTGTATCCTAGTTTAGACGGATCCGCGTCCGTAAGTCGGTGTCTACCGTTATTAAAGCGTTCGTAGTATAGATTTATGTTAGTAGTGTTAGGCCCTAAGGCGTTTTGTAGATGCTCGGATGTCGGTAARAGGAAGTTCGTTCGATATAGAGAGTAGTAAATTCTTATGGTTTGGCGCTAAGCTTAGCGATAGTAGATAACTTAGCGGCCATTTTTTTTTAGTAGTAAGTTGCTCTAGTCGGCGTTATTCTTCGTAAGGTCTAGTAAACTTGTCTCGAGTTTTTAATAGCTTGTTGTTATTTAGTCTCTCTCCCCCCGTAAGGTGTTAAAAAGTTAGTAGTACTATCGGCGTCGTTGCGTTACTAGGGTAATCCCTTTTTGTTTTCTTTACTCGGTTAACTAAGTTTCTTAAGCTAGTAGGGTGTAGGCACATAGGATAGTAGTGTTAGGCCTAGGGCGGCTCGGAAAGTGTGGAACTCTTTATTAGGGAGCGGTTTAGTTAGTCTATCGGCGACTATCTTTTCGGTAGGGACCTAGTCGAGTTCGACTTCTCCGTCTTAGACCTTTTCTMGAATAAAGTGTATGTCGACATCGAAGTGTTTTAACCGTRCGTAGAAGGTAGGGTTTTTTGTAAGTGCTATAGCGCCTTRGTTRTCGTAGTAGATAATTGTRGCCTATAGTCCGCCTATRCCGTTAGCGCCCTCTCCTTCCGGTAAGAGCTAGTCGAAYAGTAATCGTAACTAGAGTGCTTCTTTTGCTACCTATGTRTAACCTTAGTATTCGGATTCGAYAGTTAATAGTAAYACTCGTAGCTGTCGTTTTRACGACCAGCTAATAGCTCCGCTACCGGTGCTAAAGACGTATCTAGACGTTAATCGTCTAGTTTCTTCGTCTCCTACCTAGTCTACGTTAGTCTATCCGGAGGGGGCACGTAACTCCCCTTAGTAAACGAGTTTAAAATCGATTATAGTACGGAGGTATTACATAATCCTTTCGACGAGTTTCTAGTATGTGTTCGTTAGGTTGGCACTAAATCGACTAACGATAGAGACGGTATAGGCGATGTTAGGCCGTGTTCCTAACATCGCGTATATTAGTAACCCTACTACCGATTAATATCGTTTTCGTAGGTCGTCCGGGGCTGTATACCCTTCTAGTATAGGCTCGATCTTCCGTAACGAGTCTATTAGCGTTGTTGCTATCTTACTTTCCTAAAGGCCGTAGTCGCGTAGGAACTTCTTAATATATGCTTGTTAACCGAGGAAGATCTTTCGCGCCTTACGGTCTCTTCGGACGGTTATGCCTAGGTAGTAGGCGCATAGTCCGAGGTCTGTTATATTAAACCTTAAGGACAGCTTATCTTTAACGTCCTTAATCTCCGATTTAGATAGTCTAACGATTAACAGGTCGTTAACGTAGACTATAATAAAGCATTTTTCTTTAAAGAATACGCTAATATCTACGTTAAGTAGTCTAAATCCGAGTTCGTCTCTAAGGAAGCTAGTTAATGTGTTATACTAGGTGCGTGGCGATTGTTTAAGTCCGTAGAGTGCGCGATCTAGCTTATAGACGAGGTTATCGTCTTTAATGAAATCGTAGGGTTGTTCTACGAAGACTTGTTCTTTAATCTTCCCGTAAAGGAAGGTAGTCTTAACGTCCATCTGTTCGATTTCTAGGTTAAGAGCTACGGCTATAGCGAAGAT